GGGTGTGAAATCTTATTATCTCATCAATGTATATCATTATGTATGTGTTTGGTTGGATTGTTTGGTTGTTTTTCTACATTTTTCCATTTTAGGTCGAATTGGATTAAATTGATAGAAACTGATGTTTTCACGGTTAGAGTTCAAAATAAATTGTGTAGTTTAGTCGAAGAATGTTAGGCCGAGACTATTGGAATTTGTTTGAATAAAATCGGGTGATTTTGTGACTTTCTGACATTTTTGGACTATTGAGGGTTTGTGTAGCGAAGCATTCGCTAGGCGAATCACTGGCGAGTGAGGTAGCGAAGGGTTCGCTAAGCGGGCATCCAGCGAGCTGCCAGCAAACATTCCCAGACTTAGACAGAACCAAAAAGACACAAACTCGCTGGGGCGAGTGGAGTAGCGAAGGGCTCGCCATTCTGCTCGCCTAGCGAGCATGACAACACAATATTTTTCTTTTTATTCCATCCAATATCGATTCTTCGACTCATATGTGATTAACCTTATCCTGAATGTGTAGCTTGTGTGCTGTTATATGATATGCTGTGGGTAGCCGTGTGGCGTGAATCATAGATTGTGGAATTTATTGTGAATTGTGGCCTTTTGGCAAATTATATGCATTGTTTAAATTAAATATGAATGCATGATAATTGTGATAGAGTTCGTTGCCGTTTAGGTGGTAAAGCGATGCTCGTTGCTGTTTGGCGTAATTGATGTGATTGTGTATATCGATTGTACGTGATAGTATGAGATGAATGCATGAATATATTGTGAATATGTATGCATTTCAAGAGTGTCTTGAGTCATTTTTCATGTGAAGCATAATGATGTGCATTCTTGTGTTGTGGAATTCTAATGAGAATCCGTTGTAACATCGTGTGCCTATGTGAGGTATGAGCGATGATTACAAACAATTGTGTGCCTATGTGAGGTGTGAGTAATCCAATTGTGTGCCTATGTGAGGTGTGAGCAATCCATAAATATTGTGTGCCTATGTGAGGTGTGAGCAATGGGTGAACATCGTAGGCCCGACAGGGAGTTACATTGGTAACGAGTGATGGTTCCAATAAGTTCCTGAGTGAATTTGAGATGATTGAGTCGGTACCGCATTGCATTTGCATAGAGTCGTGAGTCGGTCTCTATAATTTGTATTTATCATCTTTATAATGGTGCATTGGTGAATGAACATAATTGTGTATGTTTATGTGGAATGATGGAATTGTGGAAGTATGCATGATGAGTATGCTTGGATTTATATGTATATATATATATATATATATATATATATATATATATATATATATATATATATATATATATATATATATATATATATATATATATATATATATATATATTGTGATGTATATGGGTGAGTTGTGTTGAATTGTGGTGAGAATGTGGAATATGTGTATTTTATGCTATGATATATATAATTATATGCATTGTTGTTATGATAATATTTCTCACCCTTCTGCTGTTTTATGGTGCTCTATGAGACATTGCAGAGTAGGTATGTTGGAGGTCTTTTTGTGAAGCGTGTCTTCATTCTTTTGGTCGGTTGGCTCTAATATGTAGCACCGGGTAGCTAGGTTGTTCATGATTCTTTTGTGATACATTTGTATATATATCTTGTTGGCGAATGTTTATGAAAACATGACTTATGTTGTTGTATAATTTTGGATGATGTATATATGTATATATGTTTGATGTTATTCAATGTTTAGATTTTCCGCTTTTATTCTAAATATTGAGATGTGGGTGTAAGGAATAAGTTCCCCTGTTACAAAGTTACCCCACTGTTGCATATCTTTTGTTGAGCAGGTGTTGTATGTTTTAATTTCATGCGTAATGTGACTCACCCCTTTTATACCATGTTTATAATTATACTCTGATGAAAATTTTAGTATGTGACTAATTGATTATGTGATTATTTGGGGGTATAGAAAGAGGGTGTTACAATTGACACCTATGTCCAATCAATTAGACCGGTTCAAAAATGTGCCATAAATTATTAAGACAATGCCTTAATGAATGGTAATGACTAACTATCTTTTCTTTACTTTTTGAACTTATTAATTGAATAATTTTAGGCTTACCAATTGATTGGAGCATTATGCTAATCAACCGACACATCATTATTGGCCATAAATTTTTTTATATTTTGTGTCAACCTCTAACCTACAAATAGAGGTCACTTCTCACATATTTATACATCTGGAAATGTGTTTTCATTTCTCATTTTTCACTTTCTCTAAAAAAAGAATATTTTTTTTACTTTCTCTCACTAAAAGTTTCGCTGTATCTCTTTCGAGAAAGTCATTTTGTGAGTGAGAAAATTGCAATTCTGAAAGGATAGATTTGTAAGTTCACCAATAAAGATTTTTTTTATCTTGGTTGAACATTTCATCCATTTAGGGATAATCTATTTGGGTTCGAAGCTAAACCCATAAAAAGCTTTGGCTTGGGGATTTTGTGATCAAGTCTCCGTTTAGGTTCGAGACCAGTTCCCTACTAAAATCTCAAAAGTTATTGGTTAGCCTAGTATAAAAATCAAGGTTCGGTTCAAGCTCGATCCAATATTCTGGTGGTAATATCTCACAGGTTCTTGGTTAGCTTGGTATAAAACCAAGTTTTGGGTCGCGAGAGCTCAACCAGGTGTTAAAGTTCATAAGGTTCAAGATCATCCCATGATAAAATCTTAGTTTGAATCTTGAAGACTAACCACTTTAAATTTCTTGTGGAAATGAGACTAACCGTTTCAATCCATCGTTTGAAAAGAAGACTAACCGCTTCTCTCTATGTTTACTATTTAGTTGGAAGTTAGCCACACAATTTATTTTCCTTGTATAAGGGGGTTTGACAGTTCAACCTTCTAAAAACTCTTAAAATCATTGGATACTCTCAAGAATCAAATCTCAGGAAAATGAGTATATCTTTTTTTCTTTTGACCGAACATCTATAACTTCTGGTGTCTTTCTCTCTTCCCTTACTTTTTATTTTTTGCACTTTACTTTCGGATTTTTATTGATTTTCCACTGCTTATTTCTAAAAATATTTTTAAACTTAAATTTTGTCTGAAACACAAAATTCACCCCTATTAAATGATTCATATGTCCAATAACCCATACCAACAACCAAATAAGTCAACTTCTTTTTAAGGAGTACCATTAGTTTAAATCAATATATATATATATATATATATATATATATATATATATATATATATATATATATATATATATATATATATATATATATATATATATATATATATATATATATATATATATATATATATATATATATATATATATATATATATATATATATATATATATATATATATATATATATATATATATATATATATATATATATATATATATATATATATACACACGAAAGTGTTATCTATCAAAGTTTGACACCTTAGTGTCATTCATTTGATTATATATATATATATATATATATATATATATATATATATATATATATATATATATATTTATTTTAACACTTTGTAATACAAAATAATAAAAAATTAGTTTTTATTTTTCCACATTATTTCTTTTCTAACGTGACATATATGCGCAGGTATGTGAGTCATGTGAAGCACCTGTCAAATGTTGATTGGCTTGAACGCGTCATTTGCTCTGCAACCACTTAATAAGTTACAGTAAGTGGTTATAACTTTTGTTTTTCTTTTTAATATTCGAAACGTGTTCCACGTCCGAACCAATAAATGACTAGTACACAAAAAATATATGAAAGATATGAATACAAAAGTTAGCCACAGACTCATTAAAAGATCATGTTATTTGCTTGGGTTTACTCATGTAAAATTTTAGACTTTTGCCATCGTGTTAAAGAGAAGTATTCACTTATAGGGTTGATTTAGAGATATAGATAAAAGTATCAAAGTTACCAAAATGGAAAGGTAGCTATAGCTTATCCATTTCTAATATTATAAGATATCCAAAACACAAAATGTGCCAAATATTTGTCCGGCATACTAATATGCAACAGAATAAACACTAACTCCTATCTTCCTACAAATTTAGAATGAATGCAGTCGATGGCATGTTTATTTTAGTTTTAAAAAATATATAAATTTTTTATTTAAAATAATTTTAAAGATTAATTTGAATATTTTGTAATATAAATCTATAATTATTGAAGATCAATATATAATAAAAATTATAATTCTGTAAAAAAGTTATATTTAAAAAATAATTTTTATGAAAAACAATTTCAAATAATTTTAAAATTAAATAATTTCTTTTCAAATTTTTGTATGTTTTTATAATTTTTTTAGAATTAAAAATTGTAATAAAAATTATTTTTAAAAAACTAGAACAAACCCTTATATCTAACTATTAAATATTATACAAATTATAAAAATAAATAAAATGTACAAAGTAAAAAATTAATTAAAATATTTTCCAAAGGGTTGTTATCAAACTAGAGTTAATCAAAGAAAAATAAAGTAAATTAATTTAAATATTTAAAATATACAAAATATATATTTTTAATAATAAATAAAAATAATAATTCTTTCTTATCCGCTTAGTCCCATGAATTTGATTTGGGTTGTTATGGATTTGTTTTTAGTTTGTTTGGGAATTAATTCATGTATATACAAAATAAATACTTATATAACTGTTTTATGATAAGGAAGCTAAGCATGGAAACCGCGATAATCTAAAACTTTGTTTTTTCCCGTGGACTCACAAAGAATACTTAGATTTAGAGCGAGAAACAACCTTTACCGTTTCTCTCTCTATAAAACTCTCTCTCTAGAACTTCACTAGACGAGTCTTGTACTTGTACTCGTTTCTTCCTTTACCAACAAATTAAGGAACTGTGAGTGAAGAAACATCCATAACTTCTACATTCCCACTTTTTTTTTAATTTACTTTTTTTTTTCTTTTAATAAAAGAAACTGTTTATAAATAAAATTGATCACTGGATTTGGGGATTCGAAAAACCCAGTTGGAATAATGAAGCTTCAGAGCTTTTCTCTGGCTTTATTTTTAGGGTTTCTACTACTATCGTTGACGCCGTCGTCCACGGCCAAATTCTTGGTGGAGAAGAACAGCTTGAGGGTGACGTCGCCGGATTCTATCAAGGGAACATACGATAGCGCGATTGGCAACTTCGGGATTCCTCAATACGGTGGTAGTATGGCTGGGAACGTTGTGTTCCCGAAGGATAATCAGAAAGGGTGTAAGGAGTTTGATGAGTCGGGGGTTTCCTTCAAATCGAAAGCTGGTGCTCTTCCCACCTTCGTTTTGCTCGATCGGGGAAGTATGATTTCTTATACCTTCGATTTTTTTGTTGTGTTTATTTGTGAATTTTTTTAGTTTGTTCTAGAATGTTGTTTTCCTTTCAGTTGATTGTTATGATTGTTGTTGAGGTGAAATTGGTTGCTGCTGTTTGTTTAGTTGTGTCACTTGTTTGGTTAGTGAAGACTTGCTTTGACTTGTTTTTCTCTGCTAATCTGCTTGTTTATCTATTGTTTTGCATTGTGTATGTTTGGTTTAGCTTTTGGAAGAGGCAAAAGCGCAATTCTAGAATTGTAAAATTGATTTTGGAATGATTTTGAGGTGTTTTGTTCTTGATTCTGCATCCGAAATTGATTCTACTTGAAGCTAGAATTTGTGGCTTTTGAGTTCAAATGTGATTTTTACATTAAAATTTATTGTTCAACTCAATGTTGCAAGAATTTATCCAAACATAAGTCACTTCATCTTCAACTCACTTTTAGCCAAAATCAATTTTACAGATTATCAATTCACTCAGAATCAATATTTTTCATCGCCGAACCAAACACACACTAAGTGTTATTTGATTGCTTCATGTTTAAAAGATTCTGCATGCTAGATTTTGTCTTTAGGTTTTCAAAGTGCTACATGGCGTCCCTTTAATTTGTTTGAATGGATTGGTTGTTTCTGGTTGTTCTTTAAGTTTAATTGATAATTGAACACATATGGATTCAGTTATTTGTATTTGTGCTTTGATTTTACACTTGCACTGAGAAATTGAGAATTGGAGTTGCGTGATACACTTCTTATAATGTTTTTGATGTCTTGAATTGTATTCTCTTCTGGTGGATTCTTATTGCAGTTTACGTGTTTATTGCAGGTTGCTTTTTTGCTTTGAAGGTATGGAATGCCCAGAAGGCTGGAGCTTCTGCTGTTCTTGTTGCAGATGATATTGAGGAAAAACTAATAACCATGGACACTCCCGAAGAGGATAGATCATCTGCAAAATATATAGAGAATATAACAATACCTTCGGCTCTCATAGAGAAAAGTTTTGGTAAAAAATTAAAGAGTGCCATAAGTAGTGGGGATATGGTGAATGTAAATCTTGATTGGAGGGAGGCTGTCCCCCACCCTGATGATCGTGTGGAGTATGAGCTGTGGACCAACAGCAATGATGAGTGTGGAGTTAAATGTGATATGCTGATGGAATTTGTGAAGGATTTTAAGGGTGCGGCACAAATATTGGAGAAAGGTGGCTTTACTCAGTTTACACCCCACTATATAACTTGGTACTGTCCTCAGGCATTCACATTAAGTAAGCAATGCAAGTCTCAGTGCATTAACCATGGAAGATATTGTGCTCCCGATCCTGAGCAAGATTTTAGCACTGGTTATGATGGGAAAGACGTGGTTGTTGAAAATTTGAGGCAGTTATGTGTTTACAAGGTGGCAAATGAGACCCAAAAGCCTTGGGTATGGTGGGACTATGTCACTGATTTTCAAATTAGGTGCCCAATGAAGGAGAAAAAATACAACAAGAAATGTGCAGATGCTGTCATTGAATCACTTGGCAAGTGAATCTTCATTGATTTTGATGTTTTTCTAGGGTGGTTGAAAACAATTTCTCAATTATGATTATTCAATATCTGCAGGTCTTGATATTAAAAAGATTGAAAAGTGCATGGGAGATCCAGATGCCGATTCTGAAAATACTGTTTTGAAAGAAGAGCAAGATGCCCAAGTACTCCTTTATAAACTTAATTTGCTTATGTTGTCGTTTATTCGTTTGTACAAGATTGCTATTGTTATTATATATGAATAGAAAGATCTTTAACAAACTAGTTTTTGTAGATTGGGAAGGGATCACGAGGTGATGTTACCATATTGCCTACGCTAGTTGTCAACAGTCGTCAGTATCGAGGTTAGTACAATGTGCTTCTCTCATCGATATTGCGTGGATTAAACTCTTAAAATATTTATTCATTTTTGTTTTTGCAGGAAAATTGGAGAAAGGTGCTGTTATGAAAGCTATTTGTTCAGGTTTTGAAGAAACTACTGAACCAGCTGTTTGTTTGAGCAGTGGTAAATGTTTACTATCCCTTATTAATGGGGTGGATATACTCTTGTTTAACTTTTAGTTTAAAACTCAACTCTTTTTGATTGGCAAACCTTTCTTATAGAGGTGGAGACAAACGAGTGTTTGGATAACAATGGTGGTTGTTGGCGGGATAAAGGAGCTAACATAACTGCATGCAAGGTATTGTACTTTAGTGAAAAAGGTATCTAATGACAGAAAATGTAATTCCAGTTTTCTATAATCATGCATATAAATGGGAATATTTATGCAGGATACTTTCCGAGGGCGAGTATGTGAATGCCCTTTGGTAGATGGTGTGCAGTTCAAAGGAGATGGTTATACGACTTGTGAAGGTTAAATACACAGCCTATACTCTATTTGCATAAATTTCATCAAAACTTTATCTAACTCTGTGCATGTTACTTATAATTGAAGAAAAAGACAAAGATTGACTTGGGATGATCTATATTTGACATTGTGAACATTGATCCATGATCTTCCTAGGCATAAAAGACACTAATGAATCATGATTCCTCATTTCTGTTTTGCAAATTTATTAAACTTAACTAAAATGATGTAGAGGGGTTCAGGGATGGGTTTTTGCTTATTGTTATCATTTCTGTTCATTCGGCAAAAGGGTTGATGATTGTTTTTAAAGTGTTTGTGTTTTAAAGGTTAAATTATTTTGTAGTCTCTGTTCATTTTATTTTTTAAATAGTTCCTATTGTTTCATTTCATTTTTAAATCCTTATACTTTTATTTCATTAAATAGATCTCTTGCATTTGGTGGTTTTATACTCTGTCATAGGATATTTACAGTCATTTTCTAGTTATTTTATGTTACTATTACTGATTTCAAATGCTTATATATACAACTTCATAATAACTTAATAAGTAGGGACCTAATTGAAAACTCAGGTGGTGTTTGTAAGAGCTTATTTGGACTTGTCTTATGATATTAACACTTGTGCAAGTGTTCGGAACAGCTTAGAAAAATAGCTTTCGATTTTCCCATTATTCTGTTTTCAACCTATTCTCATAAGCTTCCCAAGATAGCTCATAAAAACAATATATGCAGAGGATATGTGGACTTTATCCTGATTATTTCTCTGATTGTGAAACAGCACATAAATATTTATATGATGAATACTTTTTTAATAATTGCTGAATTAAATTGTTTACTCGAATGCTCTCCTCAGTTATACTGCAAGAACATGTTCCAAAATATTTAATTATATAGGGATCCTGTTGAAAACTTCTAGACTATAGAGATCTTGTCATAATTGCAGCAAAAATATAGGAACTTATAGAGTAAGTTACCTTTTTTAAATAATGTGTATTCATAATTTCACTCAGCAAGTTTATTATGGGTTTACAGCTAGTGGACCTGGAAGGTGCAAGATAAACAATGGGGGTTGTTGGCATGATGCCCGGAACGGACATGCATTTTCTGCTTGTTCGGTTAGTTGCTTCTCTTGACACTGTCTTCACTAAATATTTAGCATTTGAATTTCTTTTGAAAACAAATCATGACTTACATTGTCATACCTTCATGAACAGGATAATGGAGGAATTAAATGCGAGTGTCCTGCAGGGTTTAAAGGTGATGGTGTTAAAGATTGTATAGGTAAGATTGTTTATATGTTATTTGTTTATTTTATTTACTTTTCCTTAGTGTACCTTGAAGTATTAAGGTTACCCAGAGCATTAAGTTTATACACGTAAAATAGAATCCTGGATCTTATGTTAATATGTTTTTAAAACAAATTGTTTTTAACATGTTGTCATGATAGGTGGAAATTCTCATTAATCTACTAACATGTGAAAAATAGTATTGCTGTTTTTCTGTCTCAAATTAGATGTCCCCTTTGCCATTTTTCTGCCTCAAATTATTTGCCCTATCAGAATACAAATTACCAATGCAACATCTGTTGCTTTTTCCATTAATTTACCCTTATTTATTGTATTTTAATTCATCTAACCAAGTGTCTTTTAGTAAATGAAACTTGTTTTATCACTTGATTCAATTTGGATTAGTTTTTATAGCTTGTGTGGAAGCTCTTCAATTTTTATAAGTATTTGCTTTCTTACTAAAAGAATCCTTATAAGCTCATAGTTCATGTGAAAACATATATGAGAGCATCTAAAGTCGTGGTGCAGAGTTGGGTTTTAAGTAATTCAAGTTGATTTTAGAAGACGTGAGGTCATTGGCAAGATTATTGCTACTTTTCTTTATAAAAGTGTGTTGAAAAGTTCATTGGAACTGGCTCTTGCTGTATACTTAGCTTTGCTAACCATGGTTTATAACCCAGTAATAGTATGATACAGAAAAAAAAGGACCCAGTATATAAGTAACTTTTCCTATTCGTTTCCACTCAAACTAGTGGTTGAGATTAAAATCCTGTTTAAATACAACCCAGCTGGAACCTGGTCTGTGAGATATATAAATGTTTTAGTCCCCATAAAACTCATTTTGTTTTTTAGTTGCTTACAAATTATAAAACTATGTTTTTAGTCCCTAATGCATTTTAGTAATTTGTAGTGACTAAAAAAATTCACATTTAACCCTTATTTTATACAATGTCTGGCCACATTAATGCCTAATGCTGAAACCTGGATCAATTTCCTTGCTCTATCTTATTTCTATTATGTTACATACTCTTTAAATGTGATACTCCCTCCGAGCTCAATGATAAGCAAAAATTAAATCATTTTCATTGGCTCTGTTATTTCGAAAAGAACCTTAAATTAATTCAAATTGTTTTCTCCCAAAACACGTTTTCTTTAAATGAAGATAAATGGTAAGAACAATAAAAGGGACGTAAACCAAAAAAAAAAGAAAGAAAAGAGAAGACTTAAAATTGAAAGACATATTGCTGTCTGTCTCAGGTAGTAAAATTTTGGTAAACTATACTTGGATAGATCATATTTTAATTATATCTTACGGTTAAAGTACTTAACTAGTCATAGTATTCCTTCTGCTCAAATTTGTGACATTGATGATACCTGGGAAAATTTTATCATAACTAGAAAAAATGAATATCTGACATTGAACTCCTTTGTGCTTCATCCTTGCAGACATTGATGAATGTAAAGAGAAGAAAGCTTGTCAGTGCCCTGAATGTAGCTGCAAGAATACCTGGGGCAGCTATAACTGTACTTGCAATGGGGATCTTCTGTATATCAGGGACCATGATACCTGCATAAGTGAGTTACAAATATTTATTTTTTCATACGCAAACATTTGATTATGCTTTTTTTTTTTTTCATATTCTCTTTTCGATATTCTGCAGGTAAAACTTCTAGCCAGGAAGGGAAGTCTGCTTGGGCTGCATTTTGGGTCATTGTAACCGGCTTAGTTCTGGCCGCTGCAGGGGCATACCTTGTCTACAAATATAGAATAAGGGTAAGCTTGGTTGTAGTCTCCCAGTTTAATTTGGTGACGTAGCCTTTATAAGATTTATGGCATGCTTTGAGATCCATTAAATTCCATACCAGCTGCCGTTTTTGTTTGAAACTCTAATACAGAAACACTATAAGTGCACCAGAGAAATTTGCACCAGGCTGCTACGTAGACATTTCTTCATTTATTATTCTCTCCTTCATAATATTTGACTGTATTTTGTTGGTGTTTTTGCAGTCATATATGGATTCTGAAATAAGAGCCATCATGGCACAGTATATGCCCTTGGACAGCCAATCAGAAGTTGTAAATCACGTCAATGATGAAAGAGCATGAAACTGAAAATGCGTCAGCCTGTAGGCGGAATCATGTGTTGAGACCTAGTTGTGGCATACCTTGTACCTTTTTATCTTTTCAGAATTCCAAGCATTGAATTTAATTAATAGACTGTATCATATGAACAATAAAAAGCTGAGAATTAGATAGATGTCCTGTGTTTTTTATTGGGAGTGTAGCAAATTGTATACTTGAAAGAACTGAATTTAGGGCGGACTTTTAAGTTATTTTAGTAGATTTGTAGGTTCTGTTTATGTGACATATTGTTCCACTCTTATGATTGTAACTTATTTTGCTTTTAGTACAGGTTTATGTTATCACTGTTCTTCCATTGATTTGTGGAGTGTTGTTCTTTGTTTATTTTATTTCCTTTGTTGGCTACTTGATCACACGGGTGAGTTTGGGATGCATTATGGAATTAGTGATTATGTCCTTGATGGTATGAACAGATGAATGTACATCAACCCTGATGACACTTTAACCTAGAAATCTGTTAGTGGATGCTGGAATTGGTCTTATTAGATTAGCCGGTTGTAAAGTTGGATGTCAAGATTTAAAAAAAATACTTATTTTTCAGCTGTTATATTTGCCATTTTCAAAATTTTCCGTAAAAAAAAGTTGCATGATTTTTCTTAACATTTAAAAATGTGGATGGTGGGATTGATCATCTTAAATTAGTCGGTTGTAAAATTGGATATCAAGATTAAAAAAAAATACTTACTTTTCACTTGTCATATTGGCTATTTTCGAAAATTTTCATAATAAAAAATTGCATGATTTTTTCTAACATTTAAAAAGTATCTCTAACTCTGTTGTGACTGCGTTTGTTTGATTTTTTCATTTGAATTATTTTTCTTATGTGTTAAATGAGATTTTTTCATTTGAATTATTTTTCTTATGTGTTAAATGAAAGGTAACATGACGAAACCATTCTTCGCTAAAAAACAAAAACTAATCCCTTCGTGTTCACATTAAATCTTGAAAAACCTAATACTTTAGTGTACATCGTTAACCTAAAATTTTGTGACACCATGTTCATCGTTTACCTATGAAACATTGTGAATTTTCTGGTATAACATTAAATACTGATTCTTGAACTCTAAAACACAGCTTTTGTAGACAATTTGATTTCTTCAACGTTAACGTGGTCGCTATTCTTTTTGGTTCTGTTTGTAGTGCGACAAAAAAACATTAAATACTGATTCTTGAACTCTAAAACACAGCTTTTGTAGACTATTTGATTCCTTCAACGTTAACGTGTTCGCTGTTCTTTTCGGTTCTGTCTTGTAGTGCGACAAAAAAACATTAAATACTGATTCTTGAACTCTAAAACACAGCTTTTGTAGACTATTGATTCCTTCAACGTTTTCGCTGTTCTTTTCGGTTCTGTCTTGTAGTGCGATAAGAAAATTTTTTGGTGGTCTAAAAAGGGTACGGTTTTTAGTAATGTTGCAAATCTTTAATGGTCCCAATGGACTATTTCTGTAAATTTTATCAGGCCTTAAATGTACGTTTTGTCTGCGAATTTTAATTTCTGGATAGATATGTTTTTACAGGGGAGGGAGTGAAACCATTGTACAAGATCAAGACTCTGATCAGTGGAGTTTCTTTGAGGTAGTTAGCTTGGTTAACGACTGAGGTTGAGAATGATTTATGCTTTGGAGAAAGATTCAAAGACTGAATGAAGAGTTTACCCATTTCATTGATGATTTACACGCTGGAGAAATTGCTAATCACAACATGGATGGTAATGTTGATGGGCATATCTGGGTTGAACATGGTGTTCAAGACATGATGAGCAAGGTGTTGAAACCTGATGTTGATCAGTTTAGTGACTGCATTGAAGATGATAACACTAATGATAATGATGGAGACATAAAGTTCAATGACAATGAAGAAGAAAGAACATGTGAAATAAAGGAGGAAGAATTTGAGGAAGTTGAAGGAGAAATACCAATTGATGGTAATAAGGTTGAGGTAATTGAAAAGTTTATGAAATTCAAGGTTATGACATTCGAAGATTTCGAAAAAGATGAAATTTCTAATCAAGACAACCAAAGTGAATGTTTTGGGATCTAATTCACATAGCAATACCGATAATGTTGGAAGGAGGAAGAATTTGAGGAAGTTGAAGGAGAAATACCAATTGATGGTAATAAGGTTGAGGTAATTGAAAAGTTTATGAAATTCAAGGTTATGACATTCGAAGATTTCGAAAAAGATGAAATTTCTAATCAAGACAACCAAAGTGAATGTTTTGGGATCTAATTCACATAGCAATACCGATAATGTTGGAAGGAGGAAGAATTTGAGGAAGTTGAAGGAGAAATACCAATTGATGGTAATAAGGTTGAGGTAATTGAAAAGTTTATGAAATTCAAGGTTATGACATTCGAAGATTTCGAAAAAGATGAAATTTCTAATCAAGACAACCAAAGTGAATGTTTTGGGATCTAATTCACATAGCAATACCGATAATGTTGGAAGGAGGAAGAATTTGAGGAAGTTGAAGGAGAAATACCAATTGATGGTAATAAGGTTGAGGTAATTGAAAAGTTTATGAAATTCAAGGTTATGACATTCGAAGATTTCGAAAAAGATGAAATTTCTAATCAAGACAACCAAAGTGAATGTTTTGGGATCTAATTCACATAGCAATACCGATAATGTTGGAAGGAGGAAGAATTTGAGGAAGTTGAAGGAGAAATACCAATTGATGGTAATAAGGTTGAGGTAATTGAAAAGTTTATGAAATTCAAGGTTATGACATTCGAAGATTTCGAAAAAGATGAAATTTCTAATCAAGACAACCAAAGTGAATGTTTTGGGATCTAATTCACATAGCAATACCGATAATGTTGGAAGTAGAGAGGTAGACTATGATAGTGAGGAATTGGAAAGACAATGTAATGTCCAATCCTAAGAAATGATTAGATAAGAAAACTTTGATGAGTGGTCAATGGTTGCTAAAATGGAGTATGAGTGAGTTGTGGCAAGTTCATCATCTATATAATGGGCTTTAATTTTAATTTGTTGTTGGTCTTGGAAAAAAAAAGTTGTACATGTTGCTTTTGAGAGAGGGGATTATGGATTCTAAGAAAGAAAACAATGATACAAATATAATGACATTGCAAGCTTGTAATTTTTAGTGAATATTAGTTTCGTCCCGTTATCTTTCATTTAACACAATTGAAAAACAATTAAAATGAAAAAAAAATCAAACAAACACGGCCACATTATCATTTTTGATGAGTTGAGCCGACAAAAGTTTAAACAAGATATTTTTTAAATGTTAGAAAAATTCATGCCTTTTTTTTACGGAGATTTTTCGAAAATGATCAATATAGCGGGGGGAAAATAGATATTAACCCTAATATATATTGTTTTAACCATCTGGTTCTTGGAGAAAGAAAGACCATCCAAATTGAGATTAATCTTATTCATTTATGATTGAATGTCAAATTTTCCGAAATTCAACCGTGACAGAAAAACGGGATTCCAAGCTAATTTTATAAGAAAACTCACTCAATTGTGAGAGTATTATTGGATTACAATCTAATTTTGGATTCTTGAAGTATACAAGGTAAGATGCCAATGGCTAGAGGCCACTGAAACGGTTGAAACCAACTTAAGAAACAATGAATAATGAGTCAAGAAATCAGCTCAATATGATATCTCATGGTTAAAAAATACACATGGTTATACATCCTTAGGATTAAATAAATGCTGCTAATGAATAATTAAATACCTATCAAAAGAATAGAAACATCACAAAGTTCCAAATGGCATGAAGCTTCAGCTCTTTATTTTCTTCTAAATTTCTATGGTAGTTTGGTTGGTGCAATGTTGAGGTTAAGTCCAATGTTCATTCCATTGTAAGCAATGGGAGCATACATCCAGTGATCATCAGAGCTAAGAAGCTGTTCATTTGAAATCAAAAGATAAACAAACATGAATTAGTCTTAATATGGACTTTTTTTTGGCACTAAAGTAAAATTTGGACTCATAGTAAGAACTAAGGAGGATCCTCATGTTTTTACCTTAATTTGGACCTGCAAAAACTTCACATATAGCACAGCTTCCTCAAGCATGGTACTGATATCAACCTATAATTTATAAGAAAGTTAAATAATTTTAGCTTTTCAACCAATTGCTTAGCTTTAGTTGAATTGCCATTGAGAATATTACCTTGGTTCCATTGGGGACTAGGCTTTGTAGGATTTTCAACCTTTCATTTATTCTTTCTCTTCTTTTCTGCATTATACAAAATGAAAAATCTACTGAGATCTAATCCTTCAAGAGTTCAAAATCACAGCTTTCTTGGACAACATTTCAAGAACATAAAATTATTAGCAATGGTAATTCTAAGAAAATTCATTTGAATTTGGTAGACATACCTTTGCATAGACACCTTGTGGATCAGTGGAAGAACCTCTATCACATCTTGATTTTCCTTTTAACTTCACAGACGCTGAATCGTCCCGGTTTAAGATCGAAGACCCTTCTTCATTTAGCTTCTGAGAAGCATTGAAGTCATCCTCCTCCGAGCTCAAAATCGGCTCCTGAAGGTCCGGACTTTCATCCTCTTCAGTGTTGCTTATGAAAGCCGACTTTGTTTTCTTTCTAGATTTGATATTTTTCTTATTCTTTTGAACCTACATAATCAATAAAATCAAAATGATCAAATCAAGGTGACAAGAACCATACAAAATCAAACACAAAAATTCTTCTGAAAAAGAATCTGACAGACACGGATACATTTGATTGCATTCAACCATTCTTATTTCCTTACCTTCATTGAGCTTCTAGATCTTTTTCCTGACTTTTCCATGTTGATATTAACACCATCTTCCACTGATTCAGAAACCAGTACCTCTTCACATTCCACATGAGCATGAAAATTCTTGTCACCAATAACCTCTTGGCCAAACTCTTCATCAGTGTTGTTTTCAGTTATCTGTGCACTATAAGGGCCGAAGTCGCCATTCAGCATGGAAATGTAACCAATGTTTGCTACTTGATCATCATTCAAACAATTGTAACCGCCATTTATATCGGAAATGGAGTTATTCATGCTCATTATTGTTGAGCCATGTCCTGGCCATAACGTAGATGGAACTTCCAAATTGAAATTTCCATAACTGTGTTCAGGGACTTGACAGTTATCAAGTAACTGACCCATAAAATCAGCTTCCTCAGCTGTGTAAAATCCACTGAGTGAACTCCATTGTTCACAGCTTTGCTCAGAAGGATCCATTTTCTGAAGAAGTTTATATGGTTTGTGTTCTTTGTGAATTGTGACTGTAGAAGAAACTTCACTTGTTAATACACTGTATTTATAGCTAACTAAAAAGTAAAAATAAAATATCTTTATCAAATTAAAAATTCTCAATTAATAATTGCCAATTATTAGCATTTGACTAATTGCTACAACACTTTATTCAATATGCACAAGTCAATGATGCACACGTCTTTATTAATTACCCTAATTCCGTAGAGAAAAATAATGTTTGGACATCAAAAATATTAATGTCAAACTCAATATTTTTGTTTTTTTTTATTTAAAAATGTGTAGTGTAAAAAATTAAAGGTGGGAGAGAGACAAATGTAAATATATAGCCTATAGGACATCATATAGAGTGTTAAATATTTTGATGCTTTAATATAATTGTTGTGAAGGTAAAATAAATATTTTTTGATGAAATATTTATACTATAGTAGGAAATAGGTGGAAATATTAACTAATGTATTTGAATTGATGAACCAAATGACTAGTAATATGTGATGCTTTAAATAAAAAACTGCAAAATTAATTTTTTTTTTGAACAGAGATTAAAAAATGTAATAATATTATTATAACATATTATATTTTTATTAAATTAATCATATTAATAAATAATGTATACAATAATAATTAAAGGACATAATTAAAAAACAATAATTATTTTTAGATTAAAAAGTGATAATAACAATTATTTTAAAATAAATTTTATTCATTTTAAAACAGAGAGAATATAATTCAATCAATTTAACCTAATAGAATCAAACTAGTTGAATATCCGTAGTTGGTTCCTAATTCAACTATAGGTAAGTTGATTCAGTTTCTAATATATTAGTTTGATAAACAACAGTTTTTTTTTTAATATTTGAGTTTTATTGAATATCCGTATTGTTATTTAAAATTAATAAAAAAATAAAATTATTTAAAAATGATTATACATATAAAAAGGGTATTGATATTAAGTATTTAGATGATAAATACATACTCATAAAACATCAAGGTACCTGACTGTTTATTTATAAAATAAATAGTTAATAGATATTTTGCCTCTGCATATAAGACAAGTTTTGAAAAATTCTCTATAAAAAAGTTTGAATTCACATCTATCATATGAAGATTCACCTATTTTGTCCCCTTAAGAAATTTATTCATCAATAATCTATTAAACTTCATATAATTTTTAAGGTTTTATATCTATATTGTTCATGTCAAATTGATGATTTTTGAAAAATCTCCATTCCATGTCATTATTTTTTATGATTACATTTTTGGAGGGGGCAAAACAGGAGAATTTACATATGATAGGAGGTGAATTCAAACTTTTTTCATAGGGGATTTTCAAAACTCGCCTATATTGCAGGTGAAAAAATTCCTATTAATCCTAAAATATATAAAAATTATTCCATTACAGAATCCGAATTTGTTAAAGAATCATTGGTTGGGAGGATAACGATGGATATGAGCTTCTAATGTGGAGGATGAGAGGCTGACTTGTAAGGTTAACACTCCAACACTAAAGTAGTGTGTGGAGGAGAATAGTGAAAGAAATTTGAATTTGAAATTTGTGTACCTGAATTCTTCATGCGTATCCTTTATATAGAAAGGAGCTTACAACTACGCGCTACTTGTTAGGCGTGTGATGCGGGGATTCGTTGAATGTATCTTGGATTTAGATTGTTTGCCCTCTTCCACAGAGTAGTTCCTATGTGATGCAAGAAATCTAGATGAATTATAACTCCCTCTGAGGGGTCGCTTGATGACCATTCTGGTTGGACCGAAACATTTGCACCACTAAGTCCTCGTTTCTGTATGATCGTGCAGTGGTTTATCTTATTTGCCCCGTCCACCGATCAATCTTTTAACTTACATAGAAAACCAAGAGAATACTTTATTGTTTCTTGGGAATTCATGCTTTTAATTCGCCCCATGCTTTAAATGTATTTTCAGAGCTACCCTTATTATTATCTTCGAGAACTGAAACACTTGAGTGTTGTGTGTAGGTGATCTGAAGCTTTGATAAGGTCTATTCCTCTTAGTATTTTAACATACAATTCTTAAAGAGTTAGTTCTCGTTTCTTTCAGTGTCCCTTCTGTTTCATTTCTATTTTCTTTCCTTCAACACTTTCCTTTCCTTGTATTTGAAGAAAGCAACATCCACCATGAGTCAAAAGTCAAAAGAAGATGTTTGTGCTTCTTGGGTGGACCTTGTGTATTGCCAAATTGTTTTCGTGTTCACTCGAGAGGGTAGTTTTGACAGAGCATTTCTAGATGTTGGTCCATCTTCAAATTGGGGTGTTTTGACCCCCTAGGAAAATGAAAGAAATCTATAGCAATTATGGTGATTGTGCCATCCTTTTTTATGAGTGCATATTCTCGATCTTGAGTTTTTGAATTCCATTCAATGGCTTTAAATAGGAAGTCCTGAATCATTTGATGGTTACTCCGTTGCAACTGCACCTTTCGAGTTGGGCTTATGTAAAAGTCTTCCACTATTGGTGCAAATACTTAAATGAGAAACATTCTTTAACCTTTTTCTTCCATCTCTTCAAAGTTCAACGTGGTTTTGCAATTCAGGTACGAGGTCGTGGTTTGATTCACCAGGTGCCAACTATCTCTAGTTTAAGAACTTCTACGGAGAAATTGAAGCATTTTGAAAATTGAACGTTCTTGGTTATCCCTCTCCGTGAAGTTGCATGTCTCTGCTATTTTAAGGGGGATATTATGCGAGTTTCTACTATATGGTTTTGTTGCTTGTCTCTTACGCTTTATTTCAGTTTCAGTTTTATATCATTGAGTCTCCTTTTCAATTACGCACTTTTGAGGGTCAAGTTTTAAATTTGTATTTTTTTTAGCATGCATAATTCAAATTATTTGTGTTTGAGTATGGATAATACATTTTAAGTCAATTAGTTGAGTCTTTGGAACAAGAAGCATATTATATATTGGTTCAAGTGATGTCACAACTAGAATATCAAAATATCAATAAGAAAATAAAAATTGAAATTTTAGGTTTGTGATTCGAATCACTCACCCTATGAGTCGAATAAAATCAAACAGACAGAAAACAAGAGGTTCTATAAGTCTGTGAGTCGAATCACATATTGAGCATGATTTGAACCATGCAACTCTATGACTTAAATCAAAAGTTACACATGAGTCAAATCACGAAACTCATGTCAGCTACTGTCTTGTTTGAGTTGAATAATTGCTTTTTCACGACCTAAATCACAACTTGCATGGCTCGAATCACAAATAAACTTGACTCGAATCATAGCAAAGTGGGTTTCTCATTAAATTTAGATCTTGTCCCACATTAAATTTCCTCTTAACTCAAATCAATCAAGTGTTCATGACTCGAATCAAACATGTTTTTTCACTACTTTTTATGCTTCATCTTCATCACCTATAAATCATTTTTACTCTCAAAATTATTCACAATGTTAGAATCATACACTTCTATTGATGATTTGAAAACTCACTCACCACTTGTTATCTCATTTTTCAAAAGATTTTTAAACACTTGCAAACAATTTATTTCATCTTCATCTCATTCTTTTTCTATTTTTGCATGGATCTAAATCTTATATTTGGATATTCTTGATTGGTTTAGGAGATTCATTTTGAATTTAATGTTTCTTTGAAGATTTGGTTAAGATTTCAGAGGTTCATAAGAGTGTGAGTTATTGTTACTAGATATTTCATGTTTTGGTTTTTCTTGTGATTTGGGTTTTCCCTTTGAGGGGGAGTATTGGTTATGTGGGACAGGGGGAGTACTAAACATGTCTGATGTGAAGCTGCAAAAGTGCATGTTATACAAAGTTTACATGTTTTTTCATGTAGCTTGTGTTTTGTGTTTGTGGTTTTATTCCTTTCTCCAAGTTTATTGTGCAAAAGGTTGTTTTAGCCAAAATTTGCCAAATGGGGAGATTTTTAGACCCATGGTTTTAGGATTGGCAACAATTTTGCTAAAACATGGTTCAGAGCAAGATGTTGTGTGAAATGTTCTAACATGCTGGTCAGTTCACATTGAAGGCAGATGTTGTGAAAGATATTGTGACATGCTGTACCAGAACATCAATACATGCTGTTTTATTCTTGACAAATTTGATTTGATTTTATGAGATTTCATTTGGATATGTCTCATTTATTTTCGCAGGTCAAGAAGATTTAATTTGGAATATTTGATTTGATCTCCAACTGTTCATAAGTTTTTAAAATTGGATGTTGAGACAGTTTAGCGAACTTGATGATTTGTTCCAAGATTCAAGGAAATATTTTCTGCACAATTGACGCAGCCCTTAGTGTGTGGATCAATAAATATCTGGGTGAAGATTCCGAAGCCCACAGACTTCTAAGATATATATATAAATAGAAACCTAAACCCAATGTAATTTGGATTTCATAATTTTGTAAAATTAGGGGAAGTGTAAAGTCTTAGGTTTTGTGAGTGTTTTTATGTTTTTCGTTGTAAGTCACCCTTGTATCTTTTGATACATTGAAGTAGACTGATTGTATGTTATTTATTGTTCACTAATAAGCTCTTAAGCACGAGCGTATTTTTCTTAGTTTAAATCTTTTAAGCAAAACTAAGTATTATAGTTGGAAGAGTGTTCTTTTGTTCTGGTCTCTTGTGGTATTGTCACTGGTTTGTGACTGTTAGGAAGTGAATAGGGGATCTCATATCTAGAGAGTTTCTAGGTAGAAGTTTCACAAGGTAGTGATTAATTGATAATATATAAACGGGGGAGTTTAGCTTTGAACCTATACTTTCATAGTGAATTTCCTTCTTGGCTTGGATGCCCCCACATGTAGGTGATTTTGCATCGAACTAGGTTAATAATTGACTGTGTTATTTATCTTTATGTAATTTATTTTCAGTTTGATTTATTTGTTTTGTCAGACAGAAGATGTTGTAACATCTTTCTTGACATTATGTTTTGATGCGAGGACATCACTATTAACATGTGTTAGAGTGC